AACTCTGAGTCAAAGGATTCAGCTAAGCTATGACCAGATCCTCAGCTCACAGAGATGATGAGATAATGTATGTTAAGTCACTGAGTCTTGAGTAATTTGTTGCATCAACTAGGTTAACTAATATGACCTCTAAACTTTTGTGATTCAGAGTAACATTTATTGACAAAAAAATGCAAATACTACTTAAAAGTATACAGCTAATACAATATTTGGGATGTAACAGTACTAAAATATAATTAGGTTATTTTATTTAGACCCAATTCCTTTAATTTGCAATGATCTACTCAACAGCTTTTTCACCCACATCGTTGCTAACATCTTAGTCTTGCACTTTTGCAATATCTAGAATATAGTTTCCTCTCACTGTTTCTGTTTCTAATGCTGTGTGTACTCTGAGGGGAAGTATGAGCCCTGTAACATCACAATTAAAAATGCTTTAGAATAGAAAAAATATCTGAAAGTTTTCCTTCTAAAAGAATTAAGAATTGTTACATAAAAAGCAAGTAGATAGGGCCTGGAGCGATAGCACAGCGGGTAGGGTGCTTGCCTTGCACGCAGTCAACATGGCCAACAAAGGTTCGATTCCCAGCATCCCATATGGTCCCCTGAGCACCACCAGGAGCAATTCCTGAGTGCATGAGCCAGGAGTAACCCCTGAGCATCGCCGGGTGTGACCCAAAAAGCAAAAAAAAAAAAAAAGCAAGTAGATAGATGGTGGCAGGAAAATCAGTATTAACACTGATTTGTTTTTTTAGACATCGGATTAAACGGAAGTATATATTTTTTAAAGACTAATAAAGCACAACGCCTCAAATTATTTGGGAGAGGCAGGACTCTAGACTACAGGGAGCCCATGCAAGAGGCCCTATACTGTACTAGCTAAAGGGTACGGAATTCATGGACTCACTAAACTGAAATACACTTATTCAAAACCAGCAGGGTATTGAGCCCCAGAAATAAAAGAAGGGCTATGTCAGACATGGTCAACAACTGAAGGAGCCCCGAGACTAGTAGGAAATATAGAGAGAAAATAAGCAATGGAATCCTGTATGATATTGCTGCTTAGGATAGACATACACAGCTATAGCAACACAAACTGAAAACAGTATAGGTGGAAAGGGAAGTAGAAACTGTCAGAAAGACATTTGAGCGGTAGAGGTGTCTAAAACCTGAACCCCAAGGATGGTCAGGATTCTGGGAGAGGGACCACGACCTGTGAAGGCCTAGAAGCAAAGTGATTACAGTGTCAGTACAGGGCAGAATGTGAGATGATGTGAAGATGTGAAGAACTACAAAAAATCTTTATTCTACAGGGTTTGATAAGTTACACTGCAGTTTGGACTTTATTTGAAAGAAGCATAAAACTATTGAAGGGTTTTAAAAAACGAAACTCAAAAAATGTCACACTTCTATAACTGAAAATGTCCATGATATATTTGATTTTTTTTCCTTCTGTTTTTGGGCAACACCCAGCAATACTCAGGGGTTATTCCTGACTGCACTCAGGGATCAATCCTGATGGTCTTGGGGAACCCTATGGGGTACCAGGGATTGAACCGGGATCGGCTACATGCAAGCTAAGCTCTTCACAACACTGTCCCTTATTTGATTTTCGGTAAAAAGTATCCCAAGAGGGGGCTGGAGAGAGAGTACAGCGAGTAGGGTGTTTGCTTTGCATGCGGCATCCTATATGGTCCCCTGAACATCGCTGGAAGTAATTCCTGAGTGCAAAGCCAGGAGTAACCCCTGGGCATCGCTGGGTGTGACCCAAAAAGGAAAAAAAAAGTATCCCAAGATATTAAAAAGCAAAAACCAGGGGCTAAAAAGGTATCTCAAGGATCTGAAGTATATGCCTGGCATATATGAGATGCCAGGTTTGATATACAGCATCACATGGTCCCTCGGGTACTAATGGTGTGGCCGAATGGCCCCCAGGACAAGTGAGCAACATAGGCCAAGGAACTGAAGGCCTACACTACCAGATCAAATATCCAAGTATCCCAAGAATGGTACTGGGTCACTCCCTGTTCTACTGGGAAGGGACCCACAAAAAAGAAATGCATAAATGTGTAAAATTTTATATACTAATAATAAATGTGAATTTTGCATACTAGTAATAACTAGATGGAAGGAGAAGGAAAATTCCATTGACAATATACAAAAACTATAAAATGGATGATCTTAATAGTAAATACAAAAGATCTCTGTAAGAAATCATAACGTTTTGAAAAAGCCTACAAAAAATCAGAAAAAAATGAATTTTTTTTTTGCTTTTTGGGTCACACCCTGCAATGTACAGGGGTTACTCCTGGCTCATGCACTCAGGAATTACTCCTGGCAGTGCTCGGGAGACCATATGGGATGCTGGGAATCGAACCCGGGACAGCCGCATAGAAGGCAAATGCCCTACCCGCTGTGCTATCACTCCAGCCCCAAAAATGAATATTCTTGACTGTGAAGACTTAATACTAAAATAATTTTCCTCATGTTATTCTGTAAATTTAATGTAGTTCTAACCAAAAATTCCCAGCCAAGTTTTCAGAGGTACTGAACTATGAAATTCATCTTAAAGACTGCAAAACCATAATATCAAAACACAAAAGGTGCCAGTTTTTGCCCTGCCACGTATGAAATCACATAACAGATTAATTAAAGAATTCATGTAATACCAAAACATTAAGCAGTGAGGGAGGGTTTGTCTGTACTGTCCTCAAAGGTATGTTCCAAGTTCTATCCTCAGAATCTGTGCGGGTGATCCAATCTGAAAGTAAGTTCTTTGCAAACATGATCAAGTTCAGATAATGTCATACTGTAGTGCGGTGGGCTACACACCCAATGGCTGGTATTCTTATAAGATCATGGGGATACAGAGACACAAAGCAAGAATGTTGTGAGAGCGGCTGGAGCTATAGGACAGCGGTTAGGGCATCTGCCTTGCATGCTGCCGTCCCGGGTTCGATCCACAGTATCCCATTTGGTCCCCCGAGCACCGCCAGGAATAATTCCTGAGTGCAGAGCTAGGAGTAACCCTTGTGCATCGCCAGGTGTGACCCAAAAAGAAAAAAAAAGAATGTTGTGAGAAAATGGAGGTGGAAATTAGAGGGATATGAGTACAGGTCAAGAAATGCCCAGGATTGTGGCTATAGGCTTTCCCCCAAGTGTCTTTAGTGAGAATGGGGCTCTGTCGACATGTCAATTCCTGCATTCCAGACAGAAAATAAAATTCTGTGGCCTTATGCCACTTTGTTAGTGGTCCTGGAAAACTAACCCAAGGCGCGATGGTAATTTTATGTAAAAGGGGATCTCCCATGATAGGAAGAGAATGAGCCTTATTTATTCAATAAATAGGGATTAGAACAACACACTCTATGGAAAAGAAAAGTTAGGTGTCTAGATTGTATCATATAATAATAAAATTCCAAGTGGATTGAGGATCTAACACAAAAGAGTAAGTAAAACTCTAATATTTTTATAATCATCATACAGGGAAAGAATGTTCAACAAAACTTGAAACACACAAGCCTGATATTACTACTAAAAATGAAAACTTTCAAATATATACAATGAAAGACAATATAATCAATGTTTAGAAAAATAGAGCAAATATTTACAATATGTATTAGGAGGCAACGTCCAGATATATATTGTAGTCACAGGAAATGAGGAATCATCAAGTAACCCAGAAGAAACTGGGCAAAGAAATTATATCAAAGTGCAAAACTATTTTACTGTTCAACTTTACTAGCATTCGTATAAGACAGTCTCATGAGCACTTTGGGGAATTATCCCTGAGGACCAAGCACCTGAGTAACATGTATGGCCCCCCAAACCAAACACCAAAGGTATGGTAGAAGAGGCACTCTTGTACAATGAAATTTTTACAATATTTTGGTTTGGTAGTCAGTTTGACAATGTCTACTGGGATTTAAACATTCATACCCTATATTTCAGCACTTTCTTTCCTAAGACTACTTGGTACAGAAACACAAGTTCACAAAAAAAGAGAGAGAGATCAAATATATATAGAAAACTATTTAAGCAAAAACACAAGTTACAGAATACATCTATTTTGTAAAACCAGTAATTATTATATAAAGAACAAAAAGATAATAACAGCTTCTAACAATGGTTATCTTTTAGGGAAGAAAGTGACAATTTGCCAATGTATTTGTGAAATATTTCATTACTCTTAATGTACTGGACACTTGTCTAGGTGCTGGAAATCAAGGGATGAACAACAACACACAAAAACTATGAAGATGTGGTCAATGTTCATTTTCTAGATTAAGCACTTCTGTAAAGTATGACCTTTGTTTCTGCCTTTAATAAATCTCTGGTTAATTTAATTCTTTGGCGTGAGGGACAGCTAGAAGTGCTCGAGGGCTGAGCCCTGGAGATCCTTAGGCCTACATACGTGATGCTGGGAGTCATAGCAAAAGCGGTGCATGCAAGGCAAGTGCCTTACCTCCTGTAATCTCTTTAGAGGGAGGGGGGGGGATGGTGGGGCCAAACCCAACTGTACTCAGTTTTTTGTTTGGGTTATGTTCAGGATTCTTCCTGGCAGTGTCCAGGGACCATATGCGGTGCCAGGGATCGAATCTGAATCAGCCACGTCTAAAGCCAGGGCCTAAATCCCTGAACTATCTCTCTGCCCCTCCCCACCTTGTGTGTGTGTGTGTGTGTGTGTGTGTGTGTGTGTGTGTGTGTGTGTATGGGTGGAGGGGTAGTTTAGTTTTTAGTAAAGTTTAAAATACCAATGAAAACCTTTTAACAATATAAAGTGGAATTTCTGTTATCCTCTTAAAATTCATCTTAAATAACAAGTTTTTTAAAATGTCACTGAGATATTTAAGAACATATTCTGGTAAAATTAATGTGAAAGCACTAACAAATTTCTAAATATTACTAAGTCATTACTTTGCTCAGTTTAAAAATAAAAACACTTCAATGGCATGGAATCGGATTTCTCTGTACCCCTTATGACAAGCTATTTTACTTACAGTTTGTGGATTAATCTCCTCCTCTCCCATAGGTTCATCCATAATTTGCTGTCCATTCTGTGAAAAGCACAGCAAGTAGAAAGTTACCAAAACGAACCTCCCATTCAAAGGAAACGAAAGCAGACAAAACAAGAGCAAAAGGAATGTTTGTACCCCTAAACACTTTCAATGACGCTGAGAACCATGGGAGAAGTATGCAGTTGCTAAGGTGCAACAGGTTGTGCTTCAAAATAATAGGTGAATCAATGACTGGAAACTAGAAAAACACTGTTCTGTGAGAGTAATAGGAAATAATGTTACCTTTCCAGGTGAGCCCTTGAGCTTATTTTAATAGTTAAATGCATTACGAATGGTCTTATTTAAACCTCATCAAAGATCATTTCTAGTACTTTTATGACAAAATGCATTTTAAATTCTGACTCCATTAATAATTAATCAGGGAAACTGATTAATTAGGGAGAAACTAAGTTAATTCTCTACGTGAAAATTAATTCCAGATGGATTTAACATTTAAATGTCAAAAATAAAATTATGCAAGTATTAGAGGAAAATATAGGTGAATAATACATAAGGGATAAGGATGGTTAAAATAAAGAAAAAATGACACTGAAATCTAAAAAAGTTTAAAACTTTGCTTTCTACACAAAAGATAAAAGACAAATTAATTACAAAAAATAAAAACAACGTATGACAAAGGGTCGCATCCTCAGTACATGAAGAGCTTTTTTTTACAAACCTTCGAGAAAAAAAAATGATGAACCTCAACAGAAATGAGCAATAAGAGAAAAAAAAAGTGTTCAGCCTTAGAACTAATCAAAGAAATGCATTTAACTGAGAGATACCTTTTGCCTTTCAAACAGGTAACACTATAGGAAAAATAACACCCATTGCTAAATGTGGGTATGGTGAAACAAACACTCAGGATAATACTACTGGACAAAGTATAAATCAGCACAACCTTTCAGGAAGGCAATCTAAGTCTGTATTAAAAAAAGACACATAAGACTCTGAAATGTCCCAATGTTTCCACATTTAGAAAAAAATTACTAAGTGTACAAAGATGTACACCTAAGAAGGCTCACCATAACTCCCTCCCCCCAAAACTCCAAACTGGAAAGCTAAATTTAGTCTAACAATAGAGAACTATAGTATGATACACCCATATAATGGAATACTATGCAGTCATTTAAAATGATGGTAAAGATGTAAATTTATTGACATGGAGAGACAGTCACATGTAATAAGTGAAAAAGCAGTTTACAAAAACAATATGGATTTTATGATCCCATTTAAAATAAATATATACATGCTTCAATGTATATATTTGTATGGGAAAAACTCTGGAAGGATATACACCAAAATGTTAACAGTGGCTATTTCTGGGTCATGGAATTTTAGGCAATTTATATTCATTTTTTGCTTTTTTTGTATAATGTGTCTATAATAAATGTATGCAATTTGTGTAATCAAAACAAAAGTCAGGGCATGGTTATCTTCTTTATTTCCTTTACTGAAAAAAAGGAATAAATGTCCCTGACCACATACTATTTCAATAAATATACAAGGCTCTAAGCTAAGCATCTTTAGGACATTATTGGCTGGGAATTAAAGGCAGCCCACTTAACCCACATCGCTCAGAAGACAACTATTCTACGTTTGTGAATTGGCATTTCTCTTTCTATTGTGTGCACTCCTACTTATTCACCCAGTCATCCATTTAATTTCATTCCCACTATGTTCTGGGGACCAACCTGGAGATGCAAAGTTATAACAAAACATGCCCCGCCACCCCCACCAACGATCTTGCAGGTCAAGTGACCCCCAAAATGGTACTTTTCATTTTCACCCTTTAGAGGGCAGGATGAAAATAGCAAAAGGCACAGAATATGTGCCAAAATATAGAAAGCAGGGCCAAGGTATAAAATCTTTAGGCATTGTTCTTTCATTTTTGCTTCGCAGCCCACACCTGGCAGCACTCGGAGCTTACTCCCAGTGAGGCTTGAGACACCTGATGGGATGCTAGGGGTCAAACCCGGCTAGGCTGCATGCAAGGCAAGTGCCTTACTCCTGCACTATCTCTCCAGCCCCAATTCTTACGGCATTTTTAGAGCTTATACTACTGTCCACTTCTATGGTAAGGAAAACTCCCAGACACCTTTTCCTCCTAGAAGTCACAACCATTTTTTCCAACTACTGACTTCCTATCTGAACGGCCCAGAAAAACCATAAATTAGCTCTTAGAAACAATGGCCTTGGAGAGAGAGTCATCATATTTATGCTCCTATATTACTAATCTGAAGCCTGGGACAAGTTATTTAAGTTAGCTAAGTTTTAGTTTCTTCATATGGAAAGGGATTAAAACTATCCTCACAGAACTGTGAAGACTAATGAGACATGATATAAAACACTAAGTGCAGTGCCTGGTGCTTAGCAAACTAATTTTTATTACGTCCAAACTTCAATCCTCCCTCTGTGGCCCACTAGCCTTAGTGAATGTTACCTTTGTTCATCTAGTAGTCTAGATTTTTTAATTTATTGTTCAGAGTTCTTTTACCATAACACAGTTCTGTTCAGAAGGCTGCCATTATTAATCAGGCTTTTAAATCTCATAGTCTAACTTGAGCTACACCATTTGCTCCTTGTGGTTCTGTGTAGGCAAAGGAATTACGACTTCTACCTTACTTTTAAGGCAAGCTAATACTGCAGAAAATGCTAAACTCGGGCTTGACAGACCATGGAGAGTCCTAGGTATGTCACTCATAATCTATGATTCTCAACAATTGAGACTTTGGCATAGCCTATCACTTACTCTCTTCAAAATGGGATACTTGCTTAATCTACCCAAAGGGTTACCGTTAGCGGCACAATTGAAGTAACCCCTAACAACACTTTGTAAGCTGAGCTGTACCAAGGAGAATTACAATTAAGCAGAGGTAGTTACACGAGGATATACACTCCATAAAGTCCTCTTGATATTCAAATTTAAAAATGAGGTTTGGTAAGATGGCAAAAGTCATAGGTTCCAAATAAGCATTAAGTGGCTCAATTCCTTACATCCCCTTCTCATCTATACTTGAACACCACCGTCCTACAACATAATCTCAGGAAAAGCACTATTACATAAAGTTCTGTTACAGCTTTCCTTGGTCACACACTCCCTTTAAGGGAATTGTTAATACATGACAACTAATTTATCTATACTGTACCTACAAAGTTATAGAAAATCAGTGCAAAGCTGTAACTATAAACCACGCTAGGTCTACTCTTTTCTAAGTTATTCAAATTCTTTCTGACATTCCTTTAAGATAGATGAGACCATCCTCTTTACTAACAATCTGAAACAAGTAGATATAAAGATGAATACGACTAACGTTTTAACCCTGCAATTATCAACGCAGAGTAAAGAGCAGATTATATCTCTTGTCCTAGATAAAAAATTATATTAATGTAGTATTTGTATTATTTTTTGATACTTGGAGGACACTGATTCACAATATGCTTTCTTGTTGACTAAATAAATCCTTTTTTAAATTTACTTACATTGCAAGTAATGTAAGTTATTCTTTATCCTGAACCTTATTCTCTATCTTGAACCTGCTGTTATTTAGTCCCATGAATGAAGTCTTATGCTAAGTTTCTTAGCTAGTTCCAGTTCTTATCCTTTGCTTAATTCTCTATAAATTGGATTCCAAATCTGCTAATAAGCCTCTTCAACTATTTTTTAGCTTCACATCATTCATAAATTTTACAATGAGTTTTCTATTATGCATTCATCATCCAGTTAACTAATGGTGATGTAGTAACAAATTCCATAAGAAAATACAAAGTAAAGCATAACCTAAAGGTATTTAAAAATACATCCTTTGGGGCAAACATATCTGATAACACCTTTGTTAGTTTCACAACTTTTAAACAATTTAGTTTTTAAAGTGGGGAAATATGAAAGCCAATGAAGCTTTTGTAAACTCTACTCCCAAAAAGCACCTTATTTTGAACAAGTCTTTTGTATCATTAAATGGGGATTCAAATGCTGTATGTTAGAAATCATCATGAAGTTACTTCTGTAGTAAAAGCTTTCCCTTTAGAAGAAAACTACTGGCCTCATTGGGTATTAGGATACACAGCGTTTGACTCAACAGTGCTGGTTCTCCAGTTCTGAAAGTTCAAGGAATAGTGACTTTTCCCCTCTAATTTTAAGAAACAAAATGTGTGGTTGGAAGTTGACTAATATTTTGTTTAAACTCTAGCTCTGTCACTTCATTGCTGAGATTATCCTGCCCCTAGGCCAGTTACTGAACAGTTTGTGGTTCAATTTCTCCATGTTAAAGATGAATGTAATAGCCACCTATTTCACAGGGATATTGTAATTGAAAGGACTCAAGGGACAGTAGGAACTTAGTAAATGCTGCTTCCGTACCTCTTTTGCCTCAATCGACTATGTCGTATCTACATTTCTACAACTAACTGCTAAAGAAGTAAAGCAGTACAGGAGAGTGTTGAATACCTGTTTCGCCGCTTACTATTGCCTATTTCCGGTCAAGTAGGGTGCAAGAGATATTCATATGTGATATACTTTAATTACAGTAGCTCAGGAATGAACTCGAACAAAAAGAATAGTTTCAAAGTGAGGCTATTGTATTTATCCTCTCATTCTACCATAAGGCCTTCAAGCCAAGAAATAACAGAATTTGGCAGATTGTACATATGCAAATATTATGTGAAATACTGGAAAAGGTTAGGAATTTCTAATCAAGCTTCTGTTAGTCTGAAGTGTGTAAAATGCAAAAATGAAAAGAACCCACAATATGAGGCTCATCAGAACAAAGCAGATACAAAGGAGAGTGTTAGTTTGTTTCAGCAGGAACTGCTTTTAAAACAACTTCCCACGCTTTAGCATAAAATTATCACTTCAGTTAACCTTCCAGGTTTAAAGAAGATGAACAGTGCAAGTCAATAATTCTGAATCGAGGTTTCAGGATCCCAAATATTTAAGGAAAGCTCTGAAATATTAAAACTTCTGACCAATTAAAAATGCCATTTTAAGCAGCTATTTGGTTGCACAGGGCAAGTTACAACAATGTGCGTATTTACAGGCTGCTGTTTGACGCCTCCAAAGATAATAGAATTAAAAAAGATGTTTTGAATCCATCATTTTGTACAAGTATACCAAGTCTAAAAAAATGGTCTGTAGAAGCTAAAGTGCCACCCTGAAACTATAATAGGACATACTAGCATCTTCCTACCCAGACATGAAATATATTTACGAACATTGGAAGAAAAGAGTTCCTTACAGAGGACTGCCTGAAAAAACAGTAAGGGAACAGGAAAAAAAGGAAAGGTGTGAGAGTCTTAAAATATTAAGTTGGAGACCCAGGATGTAGGCATGCCCAAGGACCACACTCATTTTTTTCATTGCCCTCAAGTTTTCACAAGCATCTCTTACTTCCAAACTCCCTGATAACAGCAGTGGTTTTCCTGCCCAAAAAGCATACTGAGTAGGAATGCCATGAAGGTGCTGAGGATGAGGCATTAGAAACCTCTCTCAAACAGTTAAGGTAACATCAAATTGTTCAGAATCTAAAGAATCTTCTATGCAATCACATTGAAACAATAAGAAACAAGCATTTTATATTCTTAATAAGGAATGTATATAATCCTTACCAATGTGACAGGATTAAGAATCAGCTCCTCATTTATCCTAAGGAAATATCAGAGATGTGCATAAAGACTTATGTACAGTGATATTCATCATACTCATTATACTGAAAAATAGAAAACAATCTAAATGACCAACAGGGGATGGGTTAAATAAATCATAATACATCTATTCATATGTAGGAATACTATGCAATGGTTAAAATCAGGGCCTCAAAGAAAAAATTAATGATGAAAAATATGCTTGCAATATGCTAAATTAAAAAGGATACAAAACTACATAGTATGACCCCAATTTTGCAGCCCCCCTCCCAACATGTGTGCATGTAACTGTTAAAACATATATAAAATCTTATCAATAGTTACCTTGGACATAGGATTCTCTTCTTTGTAACTGTACTTTCAAAAATTATATACATTTATTATGTATTGTTTTTTTATAAATAGATAACACAATAAATGCAATTTTAAAAATTCATTTTATTTCTAGTTAAGGTGCTTTTAACACCTACTTTGCTATGCCTCTAGCATCTAAAGTCTGCAAGAACAAATATGTTCTATTTTCTATACTACGGGAGGTGTAATCTCTGGTTATAGCTACATTTTTAAGTTGAAGAGGACCCTTTCAGACCCTTTTTTTCTGGTCCTATGGTTGTGGCCTCAGAAAATACTTTTTAGGCCTGAATCCATCTCATGTTTGTAAAGTGTACCCCTAAGGGAAATCCTGCTTATGAAACAAGAGTATGTCAAGATAAGAATAAAGAAATGAAAACACAGTAGCCAAAATTAAATCTGCATTGTGAACAGCAAGTATTAGACCTGACACTGCAGAAAACGGAATCCATGCCACAAAGGACACACTTGAATAAATGAAAAAAAAAAAGAATTCAAAAACTATGGAGGACAGACAGAGAAATAATCTATGAATAACAGATGTTCCTAAAGGAAAAAAAAAAACAGAGCAGTTTAATCAATCAAAAGTATAAGAAAACTTTCCAGTTCTGAAAAAATACCTGAGACTGGAGACTGAGAAGGTTCAACAGAGATCATCAACACCAAGACATATCCTGGCAAATGTTTTTAAATTTCAAGGATAAAGATATAATCCTACAAGCATACAAGCAGAAAAAAACAGGTTATTTTTAAAGAAACTAAAAGCAGATTGACCTCAGATTTCTCCTCCGTAACAATAAAACGCCAGAAGACAATGAAATAATGACTTACAGAGTTGAAAAGAAAACTTATGAGCTAAGAATTTTATATCTTGTCCCAAGTGTTTCATATGAAAAGGACATAGGAAATTATTCTTAGATCTGCAGAGGCTTACAAAATCTCACCATCCTGTTAGTATCTTATTTCATAAATTATTCAAAAGTATCTTCTAGAGACCATTGAAAGAGAATCAAAATAAGAACTCAAGAATATTCAGACAGGAAAGAACTGGTGAAGTATACTAACACCAACTTATGTACAGAAATAACAGAATAAAATATTTAACCGTACTACTAAAGACAAAAGGATCAGTACGAAGAATAAATAACTGCTGTAAGTATATTAACAATGCAAAACTTTAAACTGTTATAGATAAGATTTTTACCGACGGCTAAATTACTGTGGACTCAAAGAGGCAATAGAAGAAGGGAGAAGAGACTCTAAATTCTGTCATCCCTAAAAAAGGATATTTAAAAAATAATTTTTGCAATTAGCTAATAATGTAAATTTGGGTGATATCTTAAAAATGCAGTAACAAAAACTGAACTTGCTTATTTACTGCAGTTCAAATCACTCGAGAAAATAATCTAGCAAAGATCATGATTACCACTTTACATAGGCATCGCATTCAACTGCAATAATATGAGGTAGAAATAATTACCCCTATTTTACAGATCAGGAAAGCAAGATTCAGCAAGATTAATTAGTGAATGGCAGATGTAGTATTCAAACCCACGTCTTTCCACCTCCATAATTCTTTCTTCAACCAAATTTTTCTAAGTGGTGATGGTATGGTACCTATGTATTTTAAAGTCTTTGCTTAAGAAATGCAAATGTATCTGAATTTATATATCTAGGGTTAGCTTCAATATGATTAACTGGACTAAAGAGAACATAGCATGCAGTTCTGTGTATGTATGTGTGTTGGGTGGGGGTTGATGATTCTTGTGACTGAGTATTCCATTCTTATTAGTATGAAAACATACTAATATAACTGCTCTCACCACTCAGTCTTGTGTCTGAAGTGCTTGATAGCTTGATAAAAATGATTGCATCCTGGGTTATATTTGAAATTTAAAAACCAAATATTGACTATTTACACAGAAACCCAAATAAAACAAGTGAAGAACAGGATCTAGAAAAAAAGGAGTATAATACTTTAGCAAAAATAAGATGAGACAGAAAAACTTAAGTCAATTTAAAAGGTCATTTAATTTTTGACTAGAAATACAATCAGTACTTAAGGATATATTGCAATAATAACTGCCACCATTTTGAACTCTTATCACACACCAGACAAGTGTTAAACAGTATATATCATCTTTGATATGTCTAACAGTTTTGTGAGGCAAGCCTGCTAATTTACGAATGAGGACATTAAGCTAAAATAGGTATGCCAACCTTTTATATCCTCAATCCCTAGCAAAATGGCTAGCACATAGTAGGCACTCAATAAAAATTTGCTGAATGAGAAGCGTCCAGTACCTTGCCAAAAGATAAACAGAATTGGGTTTTGATTATTTGATAAACAGGTTATAAATCAGATTATAACAGATTAATCTAAACCCTTATGACTTTTTATCATGTTTATAAATTTATTAATCATACTTCATAAAAGCAAAGGTGCTTATCTCCTATGTTTGTTTTTATACATTCTACAACTAGCACATTATTTTTTTCAAAGAGGTCATTCAAAGTAATGAATGCAAAATAGTATTGAACACTTAACCACAGACTAATCTAACCACAAGCCACATAAAGAGATACTTTTGGAACTATAACATGAACCAAATGAAAATAAAACTGAAGGGGAAATTCTAAGATAGTAATATAAACTAGAATATTGAACAGAATAAGAAGCAGACATTTGAAGAATTTATATTATGCTTGGTAGGCAACGAATTTTATAAGGTGAAAATATAGATTATTTAAGTATCTATGAAAAGTTAAAAAGATAGACCTCAGCGACAAAGTAAACGAAATTTTTTTCCAGAAAGGAGTAACAAAGGAATTTCTTTTTGGTCACAAACTCAGAGTAGTAAAGCAAAATTCTTAACAGCAAGGAATAATACAGTTCATATTTTCTGAATATGAAAAAAATGAATAAGCAAAAAATCCTAATTTCCAGAAATTAAAATTGTTCTAAATAATTATTACTGGTTCCTGTAAATTAGTTAGATCCGTCACTTATGGAATGACTCTTATTCAAGACAGTGCTGGTCATTTTATACATTCTTATTTAAATCCAATCACTAATAAACAAAAAAAGTGTCATTACTTATAGAAGGTAAGAGCTAAGTTGATAGTTAATTTGTCCAATATCAGAGAGCTTTCAATTTGTAGAAAAGATAATTAGACCTAAAACCCCTAACTTATGATATAAAAATGTTATTATATTACTCTTAGAAATTGTATCTAGTCATTTAGACATGCTCATTTTAATCTTTTTATAAGGTACTTTTTATTTTAATAAAAAGCCTTGAAATAAAAGGTAAAGAAAACCAAGATTTCTTGCTTAACACATATTCCAAGAGTGTCTATTTGTTAAATATACTACTTTAAGAAGGGAATCACTCAAGTTTTCTAATAAATCACTGGTAAGATATATTCCAAACTATATAAATTCCGAAAAAGAACCTTCTTCATATTCTCAATAAGGCAAGTTAAAAAGAAACTACAAAATTAGGTAAAGTAGGGAATATAAGATGAACATGATCTGTCACTAAATTTATTTCTAAAAAGCAGCATGACCTAAGACTGGTAACAGTTCCTATGGAAACTTGGATTTGAAGTCTGCCACTAACTGTGGGCAAGTCCCTAATCCTCTCTGAGCTGTGGTTTCTTCATGCATGCATAAAAATATATAGATATCAAGAGTTCTTGCAGATAGAAAATGCTGTAATCTCGTGGTTATAAGATTAGTTATTTAAGCTAATTGGGGTTATTACGCCTGAGATAACCAATGATTTAAAACAATTTTAATGGTATTTTTAAGTTTAATTCCTTCTTTCTTGTCTGCATCCAAATTATAATTTTATCACAATTCTTCACTGCTGTCTCTGTATTCAAGTGTAAACAGGATAATGCCAGAGAAAACCAAAAAGAATATAAAAAGGGCCAAGGAGATAGCTCCAAGGTTTGGAGCACATGCTTTGTATGCCAGAGGCCTGGGTTCAATCCCCAGCACCTGCAAAGGTCCCCAGAGCAACTGCTGGGTGTGGCTCAAAAGCAAAACCCCAAAAACCCCAGGGCCACTGGGGCTTTCTTAAATAAAAATAAAACTAGCAAAACACTTCTTTTCAATATAGTTTAAGGAACTGAACCCAATTTAATTTCCACAATCTGTTCTTATTTTACTAGTAGAAAAAAAATCAGTATGAGCTCCAGTCAAAATCCAATTCCTGCCTCCCTAATACAAACTCCAACTTTCAGTGCTCACTGGAGCTGGTAGTTTATTTCCCAGATGTGCCTAATGACCAGAATTACCTAAAATTTCTGTAAATGATACATTACTTGGGGCCTTACTGTAAAATGAAGCTGAATCAGAATTTCCAAAAGCTTCGTGGCTCTGTATCTGTTTTTTATTTTATTTTGTTTATTTATTTTTTTTTTGCTTTTTGGGTCACACCCTGTTATGCACAGGGGTTACCTGGCTAATGCACTCAGGGATTACTCCTGGCGGTGCTTGGGGGACCATATGGGATGCTGGGAATCGAACCCGGGTCCGCTGCATGCAAGGCAAACACCCTACCCGCTGTGCTATCACTCCAGCCCCTGTATCTCAGTTTTTAAACAGACACCTCAGATGCCTCCTGCGATCAGACAAACCCAGGGCATTGCAGAGTACATGGGTTCTGGAGCCAGATGTATCAGGTTTCAAAATCTGGCTTTGCCCTTTATTTATCACTGTGACTTTGGACAAGGTACTTAACATGAATTTGTTTTCAAATTCAGTTTTTTTTCCTTTTCGGGTCACATCCGGCGATGCACAGGGGTTCCTCCTGGCTCTGCACTCAGGAATTACTCCTGACAGTGCTCAGGGGACCATATGGGATGCTGGAAATCAAACCCAGGTGGGCCGCACGTAAGGCAAACTCCCTACCCACAGTGCTATCACTCCAGCCCGTTTTCAAATTCAGAAGATTTGAATATTTAATTATTAAAATTTCTTTAAAAAATTTTTATTTGCATGGCTGTGAGATGCAGAGTTACAAAGCTGTTCATGGTCGGGTTTCAGTCATAGTGTTCCAACACCCATCCCTCCAGCAGTGTGCATTTTGAATACTAGTGGTGCTGGCCCTCCCGTTGATCGTCGATTTGCTCGAGCAGGCCCAGTAACATCTCCATTGGAGACTTTGTTGTTACTGGTGCTGGAGGAAGCAGTCAAGTTCAGTAGGCCTATCACGCTGGTTATCCAGTAACTGTGACCTTTCCTTTCTTCCTGCTTATCTGAACAGAGAAAATGACAAATGCAGAGATTTCTGGGGAGTCTGATGAGTCCCTTTGCCTTGATGGATCCACTTTCAATTTGAGAGCTAAAAATCTGTTTACTAGCCAATTCTTCAATGCATTACTTGGGTGACTAATTTAAGATTCTGAGGAAGAAGTCTAATGATTTCTTCTGGTTTCCAGAGGCTTAATGAAGCCCTCACCTTTCTTTGCTCTATGACTAGAGGGAAAAATTAGTAGAACCCATCTCCTCATCTGTAAAATTACCTGAATCTATCTCTTCATCTGTGCTTAACTTTTCTGAACTGAGTCCAATATACATTATTGATAATATAACTCTTAAGAATAACTTAAAATATTTAAACATTATATATACACATTCTTACACCCTCATAAACAGAAATGACAGCATTAAAAGTTTACAAGTGAAATGAGACAGAATGTGA